TATCGTTAACGTAACCGCAACCCTGTCGAGAGAAATGAAGGATCGAGTGGAAGTTGTGAGTTCCAATATTTCGGTGTGGCAGGCGCAGGGTCGTCGACCGCACTCTTCGATGTTGGTGCGTGCTATTTCGAGGCGGCGAGCACCGGCGGCCGCGCCCGACTCGAGCCGATCGCGCGATGCGACGGCCACGCGTAAACAAACAACATGGCCGAACTGTCATTCATTAATTCATTCATAAACGATCATTGTATTTGACAAATTGACACAAACTCATTATCTGCAAACGATTCAAGGAAACCGTTTCATACATAGTACAAGGCTTGTTGGTACCTTAATTAAATATTTCCGCGCTATGAATATTCGCCGTACTTGTTTCAAACAATTATTTGTTCATTTTAATGTAAATTAATATATCTAATATAAGCCAACAGCGGCACTGCGCTATCGTCTCGATCTCATTTGCTACAAACAATAATAAAGAAACTGTAATGAAATTATTTTTAAAGATAGAAATAATCACGACATTTGCAATAGAAAAGTCAGTACAGAAAGAATTTTTTTGTAGCAGCCAAATTTCTCGGCAAAAAATCATATTGGGCTATAAGGCATTTTAATTTCTTGTATTTACGCGATTACACATTATAAATGAAACTAATTTTACGGATTTATCGCGTTTATTTTTAATTTTAATTCCCGACGTTTCGAACCCTTTACAGCGTTCATGGTCACGGGACAGACTGAGGTGTTAGACGTCTAATGTTAGTCGGGAATTAAAATTAAAAATAAACGCGATAAATCCGTAAAATTAGTTTCATTTATAAGGCATTTTTTTCATTTCTGTAATCCCTTTAAGTGCACGTAGTAATTGCATTATTAATTGCGTTATTCTTACCTCTGAAAATATAATAAATGATATATGCACAGAGATCTTAACTTGTTTCTTAACTAACTTTATAAAAGAAAGTCACCAAAGTTTGTGAGGAGCATGGTCAATCATTCACAACCAATTACTATTAAGAAATTAACTATATTTACGTTTCTATTTAGTTGTATCGGAAACTCACAGAGTTGTTGCTGTAATAAAATATTATTTCTTTCAACATGCTCCAATTAACTCGTTCAGCATTTGCTTTTTTGTTCGCACATGTTGTCAGTGGCTTGCCACATGATTTACGCCATAGGCTCAACGGTTGTTGCGGTATCCGTTATGCTTTTACAACGCTTCCTTTATTATTTAATTTCCTCCGCAGCACGTTATTACGTACTAATCAAATCGTTTTATATCCGCTATTAGATTACACGCGCATTAACCTGCTCTATCTTAACTTTATTAAGTACATTTAAAATATGGGTTAGAGTAACTGTCGGGTGATAAAATTAATAGGAACAAGTAATTTTCCCTCTGAACTTCTAGCTGGCCGGTTAATTGATGTTCCTTTATAAATGCACTAATTACGGAATCAACTTTTAGAGCGAATGGGATTCGAAGGTTAAAAATTTTGATACTAATGATATCTCGATTCCAAAGTAGTAAGTGAAATAATTTATAATACTTAACACAACTAAACGAATTACTCTCCAATGTATGCAGTTGAGCTAGTACGACCTTTTCAAATGTTCGGTTGGCAACCCTAAACTGGCACATGTGTAGCGCATATTCGTGCGAGCCTTTTGTCCGCGGGCCGAGCATGTGGTGGTGGTGGGGGCGGCGTAAGCTTTTTTGTGAACCTTTTTTCGATGGCGGGAAAAGGCCGGCTTACATGTGGACTATTATTTGAATATCCGGTACGCGGGGGCACCGGTCAGCGACGAAATTTCGAATATTTGTAAGTCACACTGTGTTCTGAGATCTTCCTAAGGAATCCGTTACAGAATCTTGGGCAATTCACAATCTATCCTGGCAATCTCTATAAGGCAAATCCATACCCATTTCCCGTACCGTGTAATGAAAACTTCATTTCTATTCGGTTTACACCAATAGAACTATTTCTCGGAATGTCCCGTGACCATGTGCTTTCATATTTCAAACGCCGCGTTATAAATTAAAACATAAATTAAATGCGACAAAATCCTTAAAATGCTTTTTTTATTTTGTCATGGTTTCAAAAAAAAATCTAAAGAATGATTAAATTTGAAGCAAATGACACCGTGACTTCAAAAAAACATAAAACGTCATAATTCATTTTAATATCGATGGCCAAGAACCCTATAGCGGAGTTACAAATAAAACTGCTGTCAACTAACTTATCGTCTATTAAGTTTTTATATTTGCGGAATGTAATGTTTCCCAAGGAAAATCATTTCGGGTGTTCGATAATGCGAACTTTAAACCGCTGTCAGTAATCAAGCGTCACTTTGTCGGAGCAGCCAATAGGATTTGATAGTAACGCGTCGGGCGTTTGTGACAAGCACGTGGTTGTTGAAGAGGTGCCAACTCGCTCACACGGTCCACGCTTCCTGTTTACAAGGCGGGCCGTCTGACGCCCAAAGCTGGCTTCGGGAATTATCAGAACATCTGGGTCGGAGGTCTCCGGTTATGCCGTTTACGCAACGCAAGATAGTTCATTGTTTAAAACCGCTACAAATATTGTATCGCATTTAGTTTTGTTTTAACCGTCGACGTTGAGAATTCGAATTAAGTTATCAAATTTGGTTTATATAATAAGTTATTAAAGTTAGTAGATAAATTTGAATTAGGTAATTAATTGAGAATTCGAATTTTTGCAGCAGTCATAGAATTTAACGATGGTCTTGTTAGTCAGCTTCAATGTGTTTATTTTAATTTTATTACAGTGAAAATATAATTCAGCGTAAATTTAATAAATCGTTTGAAGATATTGTATCATATTACTTTATTATTAATACTTTTGTGTTGAATTATACTCATTTTAGGAAACCATTTTTTCAATGAAAATACTTCCTTTGATATGAGAGAAAATATTATATTTATTAACTTTTCTCTTTTCCCTTTTTAAATAATATTACCCTTTGATATGATACATTCTTACAAATTACTTCTCTTTTTATTTATATTGCCATTTACTGTGCAAGTACCTTTGCATCTAATCTGTATTCCCGTTACCAATGCTGTCTTAGGCCATATTGGGGCCTTAGGGCACACAAATTTGGGGCTCTGATTGAAAGTAAAAAAAGTGAATGACACAAACATTTTTCTGCTATTACATATCTTATATTTTTTTATTTATTCTATAAACTTCTGCCAGTCTATAGAATTAGTTTTTTTAGAGAATTAGTTTAATCTGATGCGGCAAATATTTTGTCTGTGTATGGAAAAATATCTAAGTATAAAAATTTATGGTGCCTGAAAACTTTGGGCTATTAATTCTGATCACTGTTCAAAATTGTTATAAAACCAATAATATTGTTTGCTGTCTTAAACAGATTAAATATACTATACGTAGTTCTATTAAGCGAAAGAGAAAAAAAAAGGATGTTTTTAATAGATATATTTAATTTTAAATTACACCTTAGAATTATTAATTGATAAATAGGTTAGTCGAACAGTAAGCTGGCTAACAGATAAATGCGGAACGGAAGAATATGATTTTGAAGTCTTTTTCAGTCGTCATTTTAAAAAAACAAAAACGGTTCTTTCAACTTTTGATCCATCCGCCTAAAATTAAACATACGACCGATTTGTTCAACGCAATTAAAATTCTTCGAACCTTTTTATGCCCCAAAAGTAAATATTTCACGTGCCAATATTAGTGGACAAGTCGGTAGATATTTCGTTATCGTTCCACAAAATCTAAAGTAGCATATACCCTTAAAATGTCCCCAGTAACTTATTTGACATTGCCCAACTCTCGTCTCCCATATGAAACTCGGAAAAAATGTACCTACCTATATCTAAAGATATATTTTTAAACAAAGTTTCCGTTTGTCGAATCCGAGAGTTCCGCGTACGAAGCGGCGCGGCGTGGCCTTGGTGGATGTTGACCGAACGTTTTTTTTTTCTTCGCAGACACAGATAACATATTGTGTCATGTTATCGACTTAAGTCGACATCGCGTCGCGTATGTTGAATGGGAATATCATGCGAATTCAAGGAACGAAACGGAATATCCATAATTTACATTATTTACATAAGGTCACGTCACATAAAGATTATACATTTTTGATGTGTCTTTTAAAAAAATTTTCCGCCAATTTTCCGCCAAGGACAATGTTCATAATCAGACCCAGAAATAGCGGAAGAGAGTCAGGCGGGTTAAAATTTATCTTGGAATGGTAAATAGCAAATGTTACAAATATTTATTTATAGATGTTATACACGGTATTTCTTGTCGGTGTAATAAAGTTATTTGAAGAATACTGTCAGACCTTAAGTGTTACTGGCTTGCATTGATTGAATGGGTGTAATAGTACAAAAAACTCTAGTAGAATACAATACCGTTTAAATTAGCTTACCAAATGTGTTGGCAGTACAATACGCAAGTTATGTGAACTTAACCAATTTGCGTTGCCGTGTATGTTTACCGAATTATCTGATAACATCAGAATTATGTGTATTGGGCCTTATAGAGATCGAATAGCAATAATTGTTGTGTTCCACTACCATGAAAGTTATAGCTGGTTCGATAGAAGCGATAATATTACGGCGGGATGTCATCTCGCTGGTAAGCTCAAGTGATACCTAAAGCAATTTTATAGACAGAAAAATTATCGTTGGAACATAACAATTATTGCTATGCAAAGATACAAATTATACATATACGAACTCCTTCATTGCAGACACAATGTGACTGAAACTGAGACTGAGACAGTATGAAAATGACTTGCAATGTATAAATAAATTAATAAATTCTTATTAATTTATTTATATTATTCTTTATATATTTAATAATATTCTTCTGTTAAATTATCACATTTTTAAGAAAAAATCCAGAAACATTTCAGACCGTATGTCCGGGGGCCTTTGACACTGGTGGAAATTTTCGGTTCGCGGACGTATAGAAAAATAAAATGCTCAGAAGCTAGTCGCAGGAGCAAAGTATCACATGACGCGCGTGTGCTCTCTCTTTGCCGTGCTCTGACGGGATAGGCTTAACGGAGGACGCAATTATGATGATTAAATGAAACTGGTTCTCCGGCTGACTTGCTGCCGGGATGGCGTCGCGCGGAGCGCATTCTGCGCTTAGATTTAGTCACCTTTGACTTATTTCGTGAATTTCCTATGGTTTTTTCATGGTGCTTGTTACGTAAAAAATAAACATTCAAGTTTAAAGGATGGTCAAGGTTCAATTAGCACGGTTCTCATCTGACTACTACAAATTGTTTTTTTTTCCATTACAATGACATGTCATATGCGTTAATTGTCAAAATATTATATACATTGTAATAATGAAAATAGGGCTGGGCTTAATGGATAGTTTGTTATTAAGTTAATATTAGAGAAATAATTATATTTCAACAAAACACTATTTATGTTACGCTTAAAATTTATTAAGTAGGTTTTATTTTGCTTGTTTGCGCAAATATTTGAAGCACTTTCTAAACTGGCACGTAAGTATATACATATTATGGACCTTTGAGTAAATTCTTTTTACGAAATAGCTTTTGCGTGTCTACCATTCTAACTAATGTTACCCGTGAATATAATTCGGTTTTTAGACCTGATTTCAGAAATTTAAATCACTGCCTTCAAGATCTGAGCATCGGGGATGTTTCAGCCTTGTAGCCAACCACTAAGAATTGGCATTGGGTTACCTGCCTTAAGGACGAAATGCAAACTATAAATAGTTTTGCCTTTAGCACTAGTTCTAGTTGACTTACCCTTGCAGCTGGATGCCTTCTAAGCGGTAGTGATGCTGCATGCTGAAATCTGAGTTCGATCCCCGGTGCCAGCACCAATTATATTGTTAATTTTAAGTGATGACTCACGTGCTTAGCGTTGAAAAAACATTGTGAGGAAACCTGCATGTTTTCGATATAATAAAAAAAATATTTCGCAGATATGCGAAGTCCGCCAATGCGGAGTGGGGCCGCGTGGTGGACTATGCCCAAATACCCTCTGGACAGAGGAAGCCTTTGCCCAGAAGTGGGATATTTAGGTACAAGCTGTCACAATAATCGTGTATCCTACTAAGGTTAAGAAAGAGATAGCTAAGCCGTCATACACTATCCCTGCTATTAGATAGAGATGGATAAAAAAAATTGTTACACTGTTAATAACTGCATAAATGGACGTTACTAAGAGAATTTCGGGCAGATACCTCTTATCATAATGCCAAATCGGAACTCGAACACGTCTACTTACGAAATCCTTACTTTTAATATTATAAAGTTTGTTTGTATGGATGGATGTTTGTTACTCTTTCACGCAAATACTACTGAATCGATTTTAATTAAACTTTACAATAGTATAGCTTACATACATATTTTTATGTATATATGTCTTTCTGTCTGAATGTTATGCCTTCAGCCTACGCAGACGTAGTCGCGGGCAGCAGCTAGTTGTTAAATGAAAGTCTTGGTCGCGTACAATGCGAGTCTATCGTTGCCCCACGTGCTGACGCAGCCCTGCGCCAACTTATTTATATCCCTTTGAGACGCCGCTCCTTCTGCTTTCAATAACCGTTTACTTAATCTTTCAAACTTTCCGACGTAAATACGTCACCCTTGCGTGTAAGCGGAACATCGTCGTGCCCTTTGAAGGGGTTACCGTTCTGTTTTCCGATACAACAAAAGCATAGGAAAAGGGAAGAAACATGAACCAACTATAGAGAGCAGATTAAAGAGGTCATCGTATTAAAATTTGTAGGAAAAGAGACGAAAAGTTTTTCGCTGTTGCGTGAATCGAACGTACGTCTTCTGGATTGGATGGTATATATTTCGTTTTAAATTGTCTATGTACATATTTTTGTCATTTGATATAACACGACCTGATTCATAAAATAAGGCTTTCGACATGAACGTGCGATTGAATCGTCTAGTAACTTTGGTTAAAATAATTTCCCGCTAATAAGCGTGAAGTTCAGGGTTGGGTTTCAGATGCTCAAAAGGTCATCTAAGCAATGTCAGTACTCTAAACAGTGTATATCCAAAAGATCTCCCATTTCATTCTTCCAAAGTGACGATAATGATAATGAAAATGATGTAATATACGTGTTATTTAAACAGAAAATCTTTACCTATTACTACATTCTTACTGGTTCTCTTCCTTACTGTCGCTCTTACTATTTTTGTTAAATAAAATCTAGTTCTCATGCATTAGTAACACATAGCCCATGTTAATCTCTCGTCTCAATGAAGGAAGTAAAATAGATTTTTTTAACTTCTTTTGTTTTACAATACACCGAAAGCTTGAATGTTTATGAAGAGATTTTTGAAATATGTTATATGTTATATGTGTAACTACATAAAGGAATATAAATTTAATTTACATCAAACTTATTTTGATGAAAATTAAATTTATTTTTGTTAAAATATAATAGCATTTAGTTTTAAAATCTTGTTTTGAATTTCTGAAAGGACGGAAACAAATCTTGAGTCCCACTCATACTTAACTATCTCTCTCTCATATTAACTTTTTTTTATCCTATTTCTACTCAGCTGTTCACACAACTTGTGTTTAGGCTATTAGAACTTTGTGACCTTTAAGTGATAAATAAAGATACGTATAACTTAGTGTCTTATTTGTTGTTACAATTCATGTAATCCGTAGATTTTATTAGTAGTTGAATGAAAAACATTTTGAAAAACAAGTGATAACATAAAATATTATGAAACATCTACTTTAACAAATAAATATCAAACATAATAATGTATGTTTAATATTGTAATTATAAAATAAAAATAATGAATACATGTATAAAATAAAATAGAACAACAATTATATACGTCTAGGTTTGCTCTTTTACCATGAATATTTTCCAAATTTTCAATATTTCAAGTATAAATTGTTTCAATTTAAGGAATACTTACGCATTAAAGTTTAATGATTTATTTTATTGCAACCCTAATCGGTTTTAAAATTAGCAACGCCGTGTGGAATTGATAGGCGCGTAGCACCGAGGGCGGAAGTCGTCTCTAAAATAACAATCTTCCTACTTGCGAGAGCTAACCGTCCACTTCCAGTGGTGGACTGCGAATGCGGACATTCTGTATGTGGTCGTTCGAAATTCGAAAAATAACGTTCTCTTTTCAAATCGCAAATAACGAACGATTCGTTTATTTTGATCAGTGAATAGCGTTACTTTCCTAAAACCAGTAAATTGCATCGTATTTCAAGACCAATATTTTATTCGGTCTGTATGGGTTATAAATGAATATCGAAAACCGTATTCCATTAACGGTCTTGACATTTAATTAAATTCTGATGAAATCTAGAAAGAATACATGAAAAATTACTTGCGGTAATCTAATAGAACCAATATTAAGCATTTATTTAAATAAAAAAAATCTGGAAAAAACATTAATGCTTCGAATAAAAACTTTCTTACCCTTACAGAATATCTGTTTATAAAAACAACTGTTTATGAAGTCAAGATTAATCTACTGCGGAAAATAAAATTATTTAACCGCCTTCATTGGATTCTGTATTTATTTCAAAACTATTTGCCTACTGATAAGCAGCCGTTGTCCATTATAACATGCTCTGAATATTCAAAAAACAACTGTATTTATAAATCAACCTATTTCTAGCCACCAGGCAAATAATTGTGTAGTATTTATTTTTTCATATTATCCACACAAATTTAAAAAAATATATTTATCTGTGGTGTAATAATATTCTCGATAGCCTGGGTGGGTGTAGAGAATGTGGATATTTCGGTGCCATTATCGCTCGCCCACGGGCCGCCATTGGCAGAAAAACTCAACAGAAATACTTACGCCGTCGCGATTTACACACGTTCTTGTACCGGGTCAACTGTTGACATTGGTCGCCATCAATAGTTTTTGACCTTCTGGCATCTAGGAAACTAAAAGAGATACTATACAGCGTGTCGCTCCTAACGCGACCATAAATCAATACACATTTAGAGGATAACTTATTAAAATTGTATTAATCATTTACATTCCTTAAACATCAATAATTACCTAGTTATTGATTTTCCAAAACAAGCAATTTTAGAACACCCTTACGTATAAAACTGTAACGTAAAGTTCATTTGTAAAGGTCACAAAGCGTATGAATAGGTTGAATGAATTTGAAAGGGATAATACATACTGTTAGAAGTAGAGATTTCTAATGCGACGCTGCGGCAACGAATGAAAAAGTGTCTGAATGTATGAATCAGTCAGTTGTAGTTGTATAGGATGTTACAAATTTTGTTTCTTTTTTATTCATTTAGTTTGTTTGAAAAATATTTTTTTAATTATTGATTTTTTTAACGTTTTATATTTTTTTATGCTTATTGGCAAGTAGTTTTAGACGTGTGTTCATTTATTGTCGCGGTTGTAACGACACGCTCTATATTCAATGGCGGTTTGTCATTCTGTTTTTTCTCTGTAGTAAACGTCGATTTTTCTTTTACAGACCGATCTTATCAGTTTGATATTTCAAAGCAATGTTTAAGTGATTAGAGGATATTCGTAAAGAGGTTAATATAATACAATATCTAAAATATGTAGCAATACGCATAAGTCTCATTTCATATATATTTTTTTAGTTTCTAAATATCGCGCCTTATCTTTCGTACTCATCGGGTTCCTGAGATATAGACCTAATGGAAGATATGTGTTCCAAGGAGGCGCATTCTCTTGCCCGTTTCCGGTGGTTGTTTACAAAAAAGAACATATATATAATATAAACTCGTTGTCCGAGGCGACCGTACGAACCGGCCGGCCCAGATACTTGCCGCGATTAAAAATCGTTACAACTTCCGTTCGGCTCGGAGTCTCGGAGCGAGCCACAGATAAAAAAGATAAATAAGAAAAATAACATAAAGATCGATACGGCAGAAAGGCGCTACTTGTTTTTTCACCGCTCTTAGAGCTTGAGGCCATCGGACCGCTTGTGTTGCTGTCTAATACTTATTTATAATGCCTATATGCGCCGTTTCACGTTCAAAAAGACGAACAAGCCATTTTCAACTTAATGCACATCAGAATTTATGAAGTCGAAACTTAAATAAACATGCTGTTTTAATTATTCTCTTAATTCTTTATTAGGGTTCGGTACCCAAAGGGTAAAACGAAAAGGGTAAAAACTATTACTAAGACTCCGTTGTCTGTCTGACCGTGTATTACCAGGCTGTATATTATAAGCCATTATTGTTAGACAGTTGATTTACACAGATGATGTACTTCAACAATACTAAAAAATTAACAACAAACTCTAAAAAAGCAAAATAAAAAAATAGGCTTCCATACCACAGACATGATTTTTTGCCGTTTTTGTAAATAATGGGTACGGAGCCCTTCGTGCGCAAGTACAACTCGCACTTGGCCGGTTTTATACAACCTTTTTCGGTAGCCAGCAAGTAACCTTCCTTTGACCCGGATTTGGATGTAAATTCGTTTTGCGATTTTAAACGGTTCCGTTAAGAACAGTAATTGTTACCTCGACGAAGCCAATAAAATATAATTAAGTTACATTTTTCAAAATGAACTCAGCCTCTTCGATTCCGTTTCATTCATTACAATTAGGGTATCATTAATTTCAGGCAAACTTAAACCATAAAAATGTCCCTTATTTGCATTTTAAGGTATCCAATCCCGCCTGAAACGGTCCGCATAAATGACCTTTAATTCCGAAAAACGATAACAGCGCGGGGTGAATCGACATAGTGATGTTACCCGGTTACGTCCGCGTTGATCGTGAGCGTTAGGTGTTCCGCTGCGACCCGCAATAGAAGATATCGGATTAATAAAGGACATCGTTAGATTGAAAAACGAAATGAGCGGGCCAATTTTACGAGTGCGCCGCGACAATTAGAGGCCGGCGTGTCTGTGTGCGTGGGCCGGGCCGGGGAGGCGCGGGCGCTGCGGCGCGCGGGGCGTATCGGCTGGTAACTATGCGGCGTAACTCCGGTAGCGGCGCAACAGGTCCGCGGGGCGGGCGAGGCGGGCGGGGGGACGGTATCGTGTACGCACGCGCGCACACAGCCACCCCGTGCGCCTGTGTGCGCCATCCGGTTCGGTTCGCGCGTGAGCGGCCGATACAGACACGACGCGCGTGTAGTTGTGACCATCGGGTCGATCGATCAATGAGCTCGACTCGACACCGGACTGCTGTTGCCTGCATGCAACTCATTGATTAACGCTATGAACGTGGAATTGTTTATTCATTCATGTTGAATATTTTTATTTCAAACGAACGTCTCTGTTGTACCGTATCGACGGGTTGACCTTCTTGAGGCGGACATGCGATGTTGCGCGGTGGGTGAGCGTGTGTCGCACTTGGTGTGGAAAGAATACGCTATGTGCGTTAGGTCCGGTGATGTTCCTAATAATCTTATACTATTACGTATGCTTAGACTAAACGACGTCCTTTTAGGCTATTTCAAATTCGATTAATTTATTACATATTCATTTATGTATGTATTTATTTAACATTTATTTACACGGTTTTTGAAATATCACTTTTTAATCTTTATTTTTTTTAAACAGAAGTCTTGCGTATACCTTTAACAGTATACGTATTTCTCATATTCGCTTTAGTCTGCATTATCGTTTTACCTACAACAAATATCAACACATTAGTCATACGATAAACATACCCACTTCCGCACTAACGATGCATATGCTAGTGATATATTACGTAATGGTATATCAGCTTTACTGTGGTTACCTTTATACCGAGGGATTTTAAATTTATTTGATCCAGTAATACATTGCGTTTTTAAGAGCACTTCTATACATGTAATAAAAATGTAACTAATCGTGGTCTGTACATGAAATATATTTGAGAATAACTATTATTGGGGGCCTTTATCAACGAAGTAGAAGCCAAAACAATGATTGTTAAATTTTTTGTCTGTTTATCTGTTTGTTGTGTGTTTGTGCGCGAGTTTCACGGCACCATTATAGAATATCTCTGTAGTATTTGTAATTTTGCGTTTCGGCTGATATAGTAACCACATTTTTAAAGATTGCCAACGCAACAACTATATGGGTGTCATAGATACCATTTGGCGTCGATAATCACTCAACTTAAAGGTTCGCTTATAAAAATGTAATTTATTACGTCATTAAAGTTACTCATGGTTATAAAAACTCATAATTAGACTTTGATTTTCGGTCACGCTATACAGTTTGTATGTAATCTAATCGTCGAAAGGAACGCCTTTTAAAATAATTTATTTGCTAAGCGGTGTTGCATTAGTGCTTTTATTTATTCATCATTTAGATTACAAGTCATTACCAAGTTAAAAGTTCGCTCATGAATAATAAAAGTGGTCTGCCGGATGTGTAGAGATCATTTTCTTTATCACGGACTGGTTGGCGCTTGGCTACTTCCAACTATTTGGTTATGAACCAAACTAATTCATTAGAAGCTTAGTCATCTGCCTCGAAGACCCGCACTGTAGCGAGATCAAAAATTGGATACGGGAGGACTTCTCGAATGGGATGGTGCGTGCATATAAACGCAAGTCGCACGTTTTTGTAGCTATTTTTTAAAAATACGTGTAATGATACTTGCTATTTTGCCTATTACCTAATCACTGTGTTTTAAAGCGGCGTTCGTTTCTTTACAGGAACTGTCGCGACGCCACAGCATAAAATGTAGGTGAGTGCGATGAAATTAAGTTTTTTAGATTATTTTTAGATGGTATCAAGAGAGCTGACGGTTCACCTGATGTTAAGTGATACCGGTGCCCATGGAAAAGGAAGGAGGAAAGGTATGAACCACCTCGGGATCCAGGTATACCTTGTGTACTTCGTATCACCGTACTCGTAAACGAACAACACACTGTGTTGTAAGTTAAAACGTGTGTGGGTGTAGTATTGTTGATAGGGATATAGGGGATACCGGAATAATTATTTGCTTTGATAGCCATGTAACGATAGGGCAGTACTAAGGCCTCATAAATTGGCCTGCAGAGGAAGTTTAATTTTTTTTAGACGAAGCTGGTCTACACTGTGTTGTAAGTTAACGCTACTTGTGTTGGATTGGACATCGGAATGGTCCACAATACTTTTTTTGCTGTAATCGAGCCACGCAGCAACTTCTGAAACGACAGGGCAGTACCAAGACCTCATATACTGGCATCAAGTGGAAGTTTTATGTTTTTAGACGAGGCTGGTCTATACTTTGTTGTAAGCTAACGCTACGTTTGTAGTATTGTTTGTAGGGAAGTCGAATGGGTCCCGAATACTTTTTGCTATGAGAGAGCCACGTAGTAACTTTTGAAACGACTGGGCAGAACCAAGGCCTCATAGACTGGCATCAAGTGGAAATTTTATGTTTTTAAACGAGGCTGGTATACACTGAGTTGTAAGTTAACGCGACGTGTGTAGTGTTGTAGTTAGGGACATCGGATGGGTCCAGAATACTTTTTCTGAGTGGTAGAGTCGCGTAGTAACTTCTGAAACGACTGGGCAGTACCAACTCATAGAAGACTGGAATTAAATGGAAGTTTTATGCTTTCGAGTTACATCTGGTGAGTGAGGTAACCGCGGCCGATATTATAATGGTCGGCCACGCACCCGTTACCACTCAGATGTAGAGATCCATGTTGGCTAGCCAGCGTGCGGGTAAACCCCAGTTCCCTGCAAAGTTTCTTGTAAAAAAACCTTTCGCCTCCTTTATCGACCGGGTCGAACAGGAAACACGAATGGTGTTTGACTTGGTCACGATTTTTCAGTGATTTGGCAAAATTAGATACAATATCTCAATATCTCAATATCTCCAACTTTATGTGTCCGTATTGGGAAAGCCGATCAAGTTCGCTCAGAGATATTTTTAAAGAGATTAATATACTCACTGTTGCTTCTCAATACATTTATTGTAATGTTTTGTATATTCGTTATAACCTTAATTTTTACCTAAAGAATAGTGACAGACATAAATTAAACAGTAGAAATAAGGACAAACTTACTACCCCATTTTTTCGCCTACAAAAAGTAAATAGGTCGTTCATGGGGCAAGGTGTGCACATGTATAATAAAATCCCACAGTCGATATTAAGTCTGCCGCTTGATCAATTTAAACGTAAAATCTAAAGTCAACTTATGGTTAAAGCATATTACACTATTGCGGAATATCTCGACGACGCCAATGTGTGGAGTTAATATTGTTGATACTCACGTAGGGTAGAATAAGACTATTATACCGGTATTTTATATTGTAAACTGATATCTTTGAAAAAGCAACTGTTGAGTTTCTTGCCGGTCTCTTCTCAACAGAAACTGCTTTCCGAACCGATGGTTCCTTACGAACCTCTATGTATAATGTTTTATGTAAAATTTGACGATTCATAAGAACGCGCAAGCGTCTATTTGAATAAAGATTTTTGATTGAATGAATGATTTGGATTCACGCGAATTTTCAAGGCCGAAGTAAAATATAAATAAAGACGAATCTTATGATTGGCTGCATTAATTGCTGTCAAAACATTACTTCCTTTACATTGTTTAGTGATTCAAACATCCCTTGCCAAGTTGCAGCTTTTTCTATCAGACAATTAAACGAGCGAAAGGTTTTTTAATAGCGAATAAACATCTGCAACACCCATACCGTTGCAATTGCCTGACAAGCTTCACGTGGGTTATACCGCCTACCTCCTTTACTACATGAAAGACAGTATTATTTTATTTTACAATTTTAGGAAAACTAACAGCTAGCACATGATTAAAGTATTTGATTATAAGTACAGAAGGCCAATTATAAGTTTCCACAATTAGTTAAATATAAAGAATATAACGCGTACATAGAAGTAGTAGTCGGTATGGTCTTCATTTACGTAATAGTAGTGTTGTGACACTCCCAGACTTCGATTTGCCGATTGGAATTATTTACGGCCGTCGCGGCGGACGATGCTCTAGTGCGGGTCATTTTTTTATGTGACAAAGTAGCAAACGAGTTGGTGGTTCATCTGATGTTACGTGATAACCGCCGCCCATGGACACTTGCAACACCCGTAGGGTTGCAGATGCGTTGCCACCTTTTACCTGTTGGGCCCCGGCTACCTCACAAGACGAAAGGCAGAAGTTTAACACTCCTACTGTACGTCGTTCTTCTGCGAGGTCGTGGTAATTACCCAAGCGGACCTGCCCATTCGTGCAACAGTGAAAACTGTTGCGTGGTCCCACCACAGTTGGTCTGATACGCATTGTTTCCAGGCGTCGTGAGCCAGACGTTCCACGTTCCAGACGACACGAATGTGATTAGAAAATTCCGTTCGCGTGACGTGTCCGGGTACCGGGCGACGGTCCACTCAAAAAAGCAAAAGCACCCGTCACAGTAACTCGGACAAACGACACAGCCTTTCCAACGTCATATCCCCTTGACTGTTTGATAGTCTACCTTATTACCAGTGCATAGATTACATTCCTCTGTGCTCGCTAACGCGCTGGATGTTGGAACACTGTGATCTGTCATTTGCATTAATCCAAGTCTCCAATGCACGGACAACAACTGATTCACATATTGAAAAGGATTTTACACAGACTTTGCTTTCATTTTACACAGCATCTAAGACTCAACGATCTTAAATAAAATTTGGAATGGACTTCTTGAATAAAGCTCTGGATTTTGATATCTCTTGTAACTCAACAATTTCATTTTGAGAAGAACTCCGATGATAAATTGTATTTATTAATGTATAACATTAAGATACTATATAGAATAGTAATAGCCGATTTCAAAAGAAGCCGTAAAAGTAATTTATAAAAAACCCGTAAAGTGCGAGTCGGACTCGCGCACGAAGGGTCCCGTTAACTATAAAAATGACAAAAAAATCATGTCTGTTGTATGGTGATTTTCCGAGAGATTTTACACTTTCGGTACGGAACCCTAAAACATATAATAATATTTTTTGTTGATTTGTTATGTCTGTGTAATTTATAAATTGCCGCAAAATGTTTCTCCGCTGCCAGGATTCGAACCTATGTCTTCCAGATTACGTGCCCGACGTTTATCCACTAAGCTAAGCGGCCGATAACCTCACCGCGCGGAAACGCCGACGTCTTACTTACTCGTACTTAGTTTCTATTGCATTTTTTTGCAATGCTTGGCATATAATGTTCTTTCTTCGCTGAAAGCAAATTTTCTAAATAATATAAAAATGATATTTTTACAATCAATGTTTGAAAACCAGAAATGTCGCTTTGGTTATTAAAAATTTATTTCTTTTAATGCGAGCATAATCATTTCAGAGCATATAAGACGCTGAGTGCGTGTTATTTGAAAAACAGTTAGACATAGGTGAATCCTGGCGACAGTTAAAATTTTTAGACTATTTATCTATACATTTTAAGTTTAATGTTAAGTGTATAGACCAGCACAAATATTAAAAATTGTTTAGTGAGACTAGCACAAAAATTAAAAATAAAATTTTGTAATTGATTGAACTGATGGAGAGTTAGACTATGGAAAGCTACCTTTTTATTTTTCAATCTGCTGTCGTACTGTGAAGAAAATTACTAAATAGTCTAATTCTTCAGACTGTGGAAAGGAATCATTATAGATGGTTTTCTAGACTGTGGGACTATCGACTAACCCACTCGATTTTTCAGTCTGTGGCAAATTGAGCTTAATAATCATATGTCTCTCTAGACTGTGATGTCGTGGTGACAAAAGGGTGTGGTGATTTACGCCCGAGGCGGGTTAGGTGCGCCGCCGTGGGCGAACCAGCGGCCGTCGCCCACGCTACGACCACGCGCCGCAACTCCGGGTACAGTCGCGTGCGTTGTCGCATACGAGCCGCGGCGTTCGACTTTGTACGTCGCGGTGGGTTGAAGCACGCACTTTTGCACGCGACTGTACGTTGACTTTCCAACACGCCGCCCACGCCCGATGTTGCGATACGTCGACTTTGCCAAAGTATGGATAGGCATCTTTTGTCACTGTTGCATATTATGGTAATCGGTTTCGAAACATCGCATCGGCGGTATTCCCGTAACAATTACTTCTTTCCCCTAAATTGGATATTTTTTTTGCCAAATACCTTCTGCCGGATAACATTACAGTGTTGTAGGCCAACTAATGCCTATTTCTTCAGGTACGGAAAATTACCCAAAACATTCGGAAACCGAGAAAAAACAACCTGAGTCGTCTATGCGCATTCCTTTACTGGTGAAAATTTAGATAATTATCCATCATACTCTGACACAGAAGACGTGCCCAAAGAGCAAGTGCTTTTCGTCTTGTGGATGGTGTAACCTTAGTAAAGGTCGAAAACATAATTGCAACCCCACGGGTGATGTGTGTCTGTGTGCGTAATCACTTACCAACAAGAAACTCCTATGCAAAACCTCTTCATTTTGAACGCGTTTACCATACAGCTCACTTTTTTTCATGAGAGGCTGCTTAGTAGTTTACTGCTTTCACTGCTATAAACTGTTATAACTCTTTTACTTCTTCCAAACATATACTAGCTAGTGTATGTTTGGAAGAAGTAAAAGCACAAGATCGTGATTACGAGATTCTAAAACCGATGGACCGAAACGACGTCGCTGCCAAGTTGAAAACAGTAGAATGCAGTATTCGCCAATACCAGACGATTTTCTACCTTATTTTTCATTGATGAACGCTTACACGTATATAGTACAATTTTGATTTCTAGTTTTCACCTAATCGAGTGACGTGTTGTTTGCTGCAGTTACATTTGGATGCTTTAATTAGGTTAGGTTAGTAACAATGAATCTTGTGAGCCTCAGAGACTGAGCTCGCACATATCTGCATAACAATATTCCTCTTTTCTTCAACATTCAATTAACTTGGTGATATCCTTTTGACTACGGAAAAAGGATAAAAGAGTATCGGTGTTAAATTTTGATCGGGAAGTAAATAAACGACTATTTATAACGTGTTTATCGATAAAAGAATTTTATCCGAAATCAAACATTCGGAGGCTTACTTAAAGTTCAGTTAAAAAAAAGCGACGCGATTATTGCACTCAACCTGTGTGCCCTGCTGTTGTCTAGCATAATTTTAGAATTTAAAAAAAAATTCCGTGTGGCGGGGGAGGCGGGGTGATTTACCGCGGTGTCACTACGCGGCGTCGCATGTCGACTTGTAATAACTAACAGTCGGTCGGCCGCTAGCCGCGCGGGCGCGGACGGCCTCACGGAAGGTCGACCGCCTCGCCCCCCCCCCCCCCCCCCGCGCCGCTCGCCGCCCCCGCGCGCTACGTGGAATCCATGTAATTGGCTTCAATTAAAACGAGAAGAATTCGTACAATCGTACGCTTCCATCATCGGCCAAACATAACAACTCGCACGCGGCTGCTGCCACTTTGAATTTCGTGGCATTCAATGTGATTACATTTGTATCGTAATTCGTGCATAATGAAGATTATTTCATTTTCTCACGGCTCCATTACCGCTCTGGTCTAAAGGTGAATTACAATTTGAAAATGGAAGGTTATCATTCGTTGTATAGCTCTGGTAGAGTCGAGTTTGGCCAGTATAACAATTGTGTGTAGAAAAAAAAAAAATATACCATCAATAGCTAGCATGGTCTATAGAATCCTTTATTGGACGTCTTATGAACTATCTAAACATGTATGCTAATCTGTGTAATTTCTTGTTGTGGTTTGTTTTTGAAACAAAAACTTCTCGTCTTGATAATAACTAAAAAAATAACTTAATAAAACGTTGAACCTCAATTCATTCAACGGTCGATACTTACTTAACGAGACAGTGATTTCATCGCTTCATAACATATCCAACAATCGATTGCTAAATAACCACGTATCGGCCCACGACCGGCCTATGAATGGGCTTGACAGACGTCCATTCAGCAACGCCCTTCATTCCAGCTTTTGTTCTTTCGTAACTCTATGTCATACATCGTTTACATCACGTATACGGAAAATTGAGTAACACTTTTACATTTTTTGAGTTTATAAATTCGGATTTATGCTTATGAAAAATTATTACAGCGTATGGTAGGAAATCTAAAACTGAATTTTTACTATATATATTGTAGACATTATTTTATACCATTACAATAAATAATATACTAGTGTAACAATGAAATGGATAACTAAGTTATGTAGGTATACTAATATGTTTATCGTTAGAACAATACAGGGAAAGGTGCAAAAGTACCTATATGCATACATATTTAATATCACGGTATATTACTACCGAAACGTGGAAAAAGCTTATTTTTTAATCATAGGACTTCTTGAAACAGGAAATACGTAGTGAGGTATTAGGCGTCATAACTCTCATTGATGCTTTCTTTATCTATGCTGGCTTCCGGTACAATTGTCTAACGGGCCTAATGTTAATGTAAGCTATCAAACCATTAGACAAACACATCTCCAATTGTCATTTCTATCGCTTACGAAAATAAAAATATACTAAATTTATGCTAGTTTACGTTAATAACATTTTCAGAAAACAATCGACAATGATTGCTAAACTAGCGCCACAATATTTTATTGAGAATTATATTTAAAATTAAATGCATTTAAAGTCATTAGAGTTATCTATTATAAATATGCAATTTTTACACTGGCAAATTTTCGCGCGATTCATAGCAATACGTTTTGAATTATTTATTCTTTTGTTAATAAAATTAATGTATTTAAATCTTAACCTTGGTAATTTTTTCATTTAAATTATATTTCAAAGAAGATCGCTTTACAAATGTTGCGAAGTTGCATCACTCACCATCAGGTGAACCGTCTGCTCGTTTGGCAACTTTTCACATAAAAAAAAATATAGGATACCTTACTTGAATGAGAACAACTTTAAGAAGTACATATATACACTATACAGCTTTAATCAATTTTAAGTACTAAATTTTCACATTTAATTTATAATTTTATTTGTAAAACAGATTTTTATTTATTTAATACAAAAATGTAAAATTATTAAGAAAATTTATTTTTTCATGTAAAAGAGTTTTAAATTTAGTCCCATCAACTAGTAAAAATACTGGATACATTTTTATTTAAGCTCTAAAAAGTAATTCATTGTGTGCAGGTTATAAATGAATAAGCACAGAGCACAGATATGATCAATTTAGTTGCATGGGTGCAATCGATGGCGGATGGAAAGCGCGGGAGGCGGAGGCGGCTTCCGCTCGGTCACGAACCGCGCCGCCTCCGGAATAACAAACGGAACCCGATTTCTATCGAGTGGAACAGTGATCGAAGCGATTGTCCGAGTTGTCAAATGGACGTAATCCGCCATCTTGTAATAATGTTTTTTCTATACATAAACAATGAATGAAATTAAGTAAAAAGGAATAGATTATATCAGTGATTTGAAATCAGTCTGATAAAAAAAAACAAGTACAGAAAATATAGCGTAATACTTTTGTGTTTGGCAGCGTTCATGGTCGATGAACGTTTCCCAAAATTTACTAAAGGCCTGGAAAGGGACTTGGCACAACATCATTAGCAGCCGGAAGACGTCAACGAATATGCGAAATTGATTTCCGCTCATCGGGAATCCGTAAAGGGAAAAATCGTTTTTTGCGCGGCTGAGAATTAAACCCTGTGAATCAACGCATCAGTCAATATATATTTTCATTTATAATTATCTTTTCTTATCCTTGATTGAAAACAATTTAAACCTTCTTCTTAATTAATTGTGGAATACGAATGTAGGTACCATGCGACCTGAAGTCGAAAAAGCTAAAATAATCATCTGCCACAGATTATCGTGAAATAAAGTCAACGAGGTCCTTACTAAGAAGACCCCACAAGTCTTATTGTGGGGGCGAAACAACACCACATTCCTTGAATCGCCTTATGTGGCAGCAGTCAGAAGGCGAGGGTGTCGTTTTCACTAAGTATACCTATTTAGGAGGGGCCATTGTCAGATGCATTGTTCCTCCATTGGTATCTCATTTCGTAACGACGGCTTTGCTTGGAATTCGAATTCAAAATGAAGTTGCGAACGGTTTCGATAAATCATAACTTCTATTGTATTCGAAGTATATTAAACACCAAGCAACCGGTTATAATTTAACTAAAAACATTTCATTTGGTTGTATATACAGTGTCGACAGAACCTTACAGATTACAGACAGAAGAACATTTATAAGTTATAAGTTAATAGAATAATGACATGTATTCGTGATTTAAAGCTGTTAAGTTTAACGCGATATGCATTGTAATTTTAGCATGAAATATTTATACAAAGTTTAGTTTCATGTCCAAAAAAAGTGCATTTCTATAACTCGAAATTATAGAAATGCAGTTTTTTTAAGTGAATACTTACCGACCGACACCGACATGCCAATGTCACATGTTTTGTCTTTGACGTCGGAAAAAAATTGAATTAGGTTTTCTAATATTTGAAAAATTATTATTTAGGTTTTCTTATATTTGATTTCTGTGAATTTTTTTCTAATTTTTTGATGGTAAGTATTTTTGTAGTAAGTAGCCGTGATAGCTCAGTGTCCGGGCGCTCGCCTTAATTCAATGTACTCGAGCAACCTGAGTTCGATCCCCGGTGCCGGCACCAATGAAGTTTTTAACTTTAAGTGCTGACTTATCACGTGCTCCGCGGTGAAGGAAAACATAGTGAGGAAACCTGCATATTTTCGAAATAATAACAAAAAAAAAATATATTTCGAATATATGTGAAGTCCGCCAATCCGCAGTGGGGCCGCGTGGTGGACTATGCCCTGATACCCTCTGTATAGAGGAGGCCTTTGCCCAGCAGTGGGACATGTATAGGCTGTTACTTTACTTTTTTTTTTAAGTATTTTTGTCGCGTTTTGAAAATTAAAAACTCGAAATTATTGTATATTGGTTAAACAAAATAGGTAGATCTTGTGCAGTTTAAATCAGTGTTTTGGGATTTTAATTATTCACAGTATAACTCATTTCATTAGAAAATTAGAAAACAAAAGTGATCCCAGTTTTAAGTGATCACTTTGTCGGCAGATTGACCCATCACTGCTTATTATTTTTTCTAATAATGCCTGTTTGCATTTTTGTAAATGTGCTATTATATTTTTCTTAGCGCGACTTCTCGTTCATTTGCTTCTATCAGGTTTAACGTTTGAAGCCATTATTTTATTATTAGCTGTGGTTTTAACGTTAGAATGGACCGAGTCAGGTAGAGATTTTTTTAGGACAGGCCATTCACGATACTGGCCGATTAACATTTTTTGTTGTAGCTCCGAATAATTTGCTTCCTCCATTGATTTATCTTCACATTAATGTTTCAAGCGACTAACGTACGCAAGTAATGAATGCTGTCACAATTCCGGGTACATGTATGTTCTGATGTAAAGAAAATTGGAGCTCTCTTTGATCAGTCGAATGTCGAAATATATTTATATTTTTGCTTGACTATATTTATTACCACTCAATGGTTAATGAGGCGTTACGTAACTGCTGGAGCGTAGCGTGACAACGACGTCCCGTGTGCCGTGGCGTTATCGCTCGTCCTTGACATAGAGACGCTGCGTGCACAACGCGCCTTATTCTCGCTACAACCTTGCGAAAATTACCGTCCGCGATAACAGATGTCGTTTTCGTTCCTGCTCCACTCACGCGCGTGGTATACAGTTATAACATATTCGTATCGTAATAGAAAGTCTCGTAGGCCGCGGCGCGTTGCGCTCGTGCGAATTCGGGGGAATGTTTCGACAGTTCCGTATGGTACCGGCTTGGGTCGTTGAGAGTGCAGTTGCATAGGACGAAAGTGGGTGGAGCTGTGCGAGTCTCGCCGACCGGAAACTTAATTCCCGGATGCGGCGGCGTTAGGTAGGGGAGCGCGGGGAGCGAGGGGTTCGCCGGAAGCCCGATAAACGAGCACATCCGCCGCCGCCCGCGCCGCAAAATTTGGCACCGCCAGCGCTCGCGCCCGCTTCCGGCCCGCTCCCCCTCCGCCGCTCTCCTGCGAAAATAGCCGCCGACCGCTCTGTGTACGCGGTTCATTCAGTATGGCCGCCTTCCATTCATAAAAAGGCGAGGTGCGGGCGGGTGGCGGCGCGGCGGCGGGGCGCGGCTCTCCCGCCGACCCGCTCCCGCACCCGACGCCAGTGCGGAATGTGCCAGCGAACGAAACGGTCGTTTCGTTGGAGCGTAGCGCTAGCGCTCCCGGTTTTCCATTAAAATGTGTATAAGAATCAGTGCAGTGAATCCACACGAGTTCGGAACGGTAGCGAGAAACGCCGTAGTCAAGATCAGGAGTAGAAATCAACGAAGAACTTCACCGAGGAAGTGAGTAGCGGCCATATTGCAGTGATAACCGCGCGGCGGGCGGACGAGAATCGAGGCCGGTGCGTGGGCCGCCCCCCGCCCGCGCCAGGTGCCGCTCCGGACCGCGCCGGTCTCATGAGCCTTCCCGTGGATTTGCGCGCCCGAAATTCGGTGGTTCTACCGTATTTTTGTGTGTCAGTGAGACTGCTGGCGCGGTTTCGGTGCGGCACGATCAGCCGAGCAACAAGCTCAGTGTTGTGTGTGGGGCCAATAGGCTCGAGTGCCCTTGTGTGTGATGTGTGTAGGAGACGTGTGACCGTGGAACGTCTGCTTTGTAAGTACACCCACAGACGTGTGACGTCCCGGCAACGTTGCCTGTAATGGAATTGCCAATAACGAATAGTAAGATTGGCTCATTGTAGTGCAGATCAGACACAACTATGTTGTTTCTACAGATTTCGTCAATCGAAATTTGATAGGTATCCGATTAGGAAGGTACTTAACGACATGAATGAGGAGTAGCGTCGCGTCGCCCGCGCGCCGCGCGCCTCCACCGACGCACGTGCGACGTTGGTCGTTCGCCGCGCGAGAACGTTCTCAAGTAACAAGTTCAAAATGTAATGATTTCATTTATTCAATCAAATTTGGTTTAGTTAATAATATCCATTGCTTAAGGAATTTAATAACGTCACCACCGCGTACTATCAATCGTTCTTAATACAAATTGTGTGTTTCGTGAAGTGTGTAAAACGACTACAAATCGGACCAATCGAATGTTTCTAATTTTATAGTGATAAACGCTATAATATCGAGTAATAGCGTTCATGTTTTGAGTTATTATAGCAACAGCGAGACCAATTTCGACAGTAAGTTGATAACAGTAGACGAAGATAAGGAATAATAAAATTGTAAACAATACATAACATATCTTAACAAACTTAAACGAATATTTTTAGAGAAAACAAAATATATTCATTTGCCTTTTTGTGTTAAATCGCTTTGCTAAGCTACCTGTTAAAGTACATTGATGATTATTTTGATTTTTTTAATGAAATATTTCGTTATATTTAAAATATATTTTGATGTTAGATTTTTCTTCATTGATTTCCCATAGTAATCTATATGAGCAGAAATTACTTTGATCTGTTCTTTAATTCAAGAAATTCCATAAAACATTGGCCTTTTTCTATACTACATATCCTTAAACCTAAAAATAAATGAAGCAAGAGAAGTTCACAAATGAAACTTACCCATCATACATTTATGTGTATCAATTTTGGTTATCAAAGTTACACTCAGAAAAAACAGGGACAACAGATATTATATTACAATTACATTTATACATTTTATATTTATTTTAATGGAACCCTTTCCACTTTATAGTTATAATCTTATTCAAGCTTTTTAAAATTACTAATATATTCTGGTACATATAAAGCTATTTAACTAATATCTTAAATTTGTTACTTTGGATGTTCATACGTAGATGTTGTAGATTTAGTCTAAAATAATACCATACATACTAATGAACCATAATAAAATAATTCTATCCTTTTTAAATACAGTTTCATATGTATTTCTTAAATTTGTTAAAACAGTTTTCTTCATAAGGTTTAAAAGGCCTGTTTTAAAATAGATATTTGAATACAGTTTAATATATTTTATCGCACTGAACTTTGTAAGACTTAATATTTCTTCTTTTTTATTAAATTGCAACCATACACACCCCATATTTATGACATATTTGATTTATTATTTATTAATGTACAAAACATGTTGATACAGTTATATAATGTACTAACTTATATAAATATGTTATTGCAGTTATAGGAGCTGTTGTGCATATTGTGGCTAAATTCATTTAATATTAGCTTCATTGGAATTAACTGTTTTAAATTTACACTTTATTGACATTAACAAATATCATGGGAAACAAATTATACATCATACAGGCAAACAATTGTTAAGTACATATTTTCATATAACTAATTTAATTATTACAAAAACACACTTTCTCTTGACAAAAATTTTACTTAAGTTCTGGAATAATCATTGCTAAACATATTGAAATACGTAAAAATGTTTTTTTTGTTTTTTCACTGAAAACTTAGTGTGCACCTAAATCAATAGTCTGCTTGTTGCACAATGGGCACAAATTTAGTATTTTTATTAAAAACATGAGAGTGCAAATGTTATTATATTGTGTACTGAAGAATTTGTGACATAACTGCGGCCGCATTGCTTGCGATGTAATAAACACTGCGTTATTTATGTTACATAGTACAGTGATTTCCAGTATTCGCATGTATTATAAATCTTTCATGTGTCGAAAATAATACCGAAACAGGACGCGACGCGAACAGGACATAAGGATCCAGTCACTCATTCAAATTTAATAGTAACGCGATTAATTACACTATTTATTTAATTAAAAGTTTTTTTACACTGTTTCTTTAATCAAAAGTCCGGAGGTCATGGCCCAACCGCAGGAAGCAGTTGCTATGGAAATAGAAACATTCGACATTTCGGTCAGAGCTAACAACGGACTGGTTTCCGAATGAATGGTCGCTTGTGGTTCGTTGTTTGCTTAAATTTAAAACTGGCGTCTTTGGGATTCTTTACGCAGTCTTAGTTTCCTGACAAAAATGTAAATTATTGTTTATATTAGGTTTCTAAAAAGATGTGAATCTTGACATCAATACCTGACATAAACACACACAACAATCCTTTTCATATTCTCTAAGAATTCAGTAAGGATTCTAAAATTTGCGATTTTACATGTTGATCGTTAATAAATCATCAAATGCCATGCAAACTGAGTTATCAATGAAAATGTCATAATAACAGGGAGGCCTATTAAACGAAAGGTGAAATTGGATATGGATAGAAAGTTTCACTTTTCCATCAGCTTATGGATGATAACAATGATTCAAGAAAAACTGAATGTACTAAATATTGAACTGACAGGGCTTCCAGGATTAATAAATAACGTACATACTTAGATTACTTTTGAAAGATCAAGTTTTCTTGTGATAGTTATACGGCTTAGTTACGTTGTAAATTTATTTACCTTCGTGATGTGGTAGTGCGTTGAAAAGTAAGCGACTGTATAACATTCTCAAATAAATAAATATATAATTACGAAGTTTCTTAACGCTTGTTTTTTCTAAATTTTCTTTCTATAATTTTCGCCACGCTGTTGGAATTCATCTCAAACATGCGAAATAATTTCTGGAAACCAGTCATAAAATTTATTTTAGGAAATAACTGGAATGGCTTTGTTCAGCTAATACACAAAGGCTTGCCATAAGTTGGCCGTGTACTGTTTTATTTGGTTTTTGTTATCAAAGCCGTAGACAATCAGTTCGGTTGCCAAATTTTACAAAATTAGAGATACATAAAAATTATTGAACAAATGTAATGAAAATTAACAATTTTTAAAAATCGCGGCACATATTAGTGTTTAAGTAAAGAAAAATATTACAAAAGTATTGAATTCCGATTTTGTAGTTAAAGTAGTGAAACATTAACAATTTGCGTGAATTGAATTGTCCTTAAATCTTAACTTAAACCTTAACCTATTTCAGCTAATTTAACAGATTTGTGTAGTGGTTCCGGACTAAAACAAGCTGAAATGATGATGAACTAGTGATAAGCGCGGTTATCCATGTATATAAAACGGCACCCTTTTTCATTCAAAATCAAAATTTATTCAATATAGGCTTGTTTTACCCCTATTACTTACCTACTTAAGACTACTAGTTCAATAAAACCTGTCCAGAGAAAAATCGGCAAGAAAATCTGCGAAAAAAAAATTCTTATCTGTATTTTTAATGATGTATACAAAATGTTTTAGGTATAAAATTAGCAGCAGGCAGGAGATTTGCAAGCGCATAGCAAGTAATTTCAATACATCCTCGTTCTCATTATATTCTTCGAAGGTATAATACGCCCTTTTTATTAGGGTAGCTTTTCAAAATGTTTGAAATTGTATTAATTTGTGAATGTCACTTAGTTTATTATATAACTAGCGGCCCAGTTTCGCACGGGTGCAATGTATACATATAAACCTTCCTCTTGAATCACTATCCAGTAAAAAAACCGCATCAAGATCAGATGCGTAGTTTTAAAGATTTAACCATACATAGAAACAGACAGACAGCGGGACGACTTTGTTTTATACTGTGTAGTAATTTAGGTAATACATCTACTAAGAAAAGACTTTCTGGTTTTAGCCAGTCTAAACCTTGCGCATTCAATTTTAATGGGAAAATAAAGGATTTTGTCTGCTGCGTTTTTCTAAGCTAATATGCCCAATAATTTAAAAGTCGTAAAATGACGTTCTTTAAATAAATCGTTTTGGCAAATAACTACCACGGCTATAAAATAGATATTTAGTGCTTTTTGACACTAGCTATTAAGTTTTTTCCCGTTAAATATGTTTCTATGAATGTTATACTGATAAAATATACTCGATTTGTTTGATAATACTTAAAGTTATAATTATAAAATCAAAATTCTTAAAATACTTAAAATCAAGAAAATGAATTATCGTGTACTATGTAGGTGTACTTTACGCATTTTGGGAAGATATATTTATCTTTTAGCAATAAGTAAGTTTCCCAAGGAACCATTAAGCCAGCACAAAACTGGCTATATATCTGTTAATTTTAATCTAATGTAAACTTTTTTTATTTTGTGTCATCAAAGATGCGACGGCAAATCGAAGCGGGGGGCGGGGGCGGCGCGGCCGGAGCGCGCACGCCGCACGTGTCGCTGCTGCGGCCGCGGCCCGAGGCGGAGCGCGAGCGCAACGCGTACGTGGAGCCGCCGCGGCGGGCGCCCCCACCGCCCGCGCACCCGCACCAGCACCAGCACCACGCGCCCCGCCACCACCAGCACCAGCACCAGAACTCGGCGGCGCGGCCCCTCAAGCCGGTGACGACGCAGCCGGGCGCGGCCGGCAAGCAGCGGCGCCCGCTCGCCGCGGACTCGATCGTGTGCGAGGCGTGCGGCCGGTGCCGCTGCGAGCAGTGCGCGCGCCCCAGGCCGCTGCCCTCGCGCTGGCTGTGCGGCTCGTGCCTGTGCAGCGCGGAGGCGTGCGTCGACTACGCGTCGTGCATGTGCTGCGTGAAGGCGCTGTTCTACCACTGCGGGAGCAGCGAGGAGGAGACGGCGGAGCCGTGCGCGTGCGGGCCGCGGCTGTGGTGCGTGGGCGCGCTGGCGCTGCCGCTGCCCTGCCTGTGCCTCTACTGGCCGCTGCGCGCGTGCGCCGCCGCCGGGGCAGCGGCGTACGCGCGCGCATCCCGCGCCGGCTGCCGCTGCGCGCCCCCCTCCCCCGCCGCCGCAGCCGCCTCCGCCGCCGCGCCGCTCTCCAGTATTATCTAGTCCCGGCGCCGGCCCGCGCCCTCCGAAGCCCCGCGCCGCCGCGCACGCGCTGTACAAATATTTATTGGCGCGCGCCGCTTCTGAGCGCGCGGCGGCAGACGGACTCGCCGCCATGGATGGACCGCAGTGACCGATGACCGTGCCAGTGCCGAGTGCGCGGCCGGGGCCTGAACGCGCCCCGCGCCGCGGAGTGATCGTCTGCCACCTGTAAATATAGCCGTATAGTGTGAATGTACGTGAACGTGTCGCCGAACGCCGCGAGTCTCAAATTTTCTTGGGACCGAAACGTGTCATATAACGCTAACATTAGTATTTTGGATTCAGCGCGAATCCGGAGATGATTAAGAGATGAGATATAAAATCATACTTATTAAGATGTAGATAATTTACCATTTATTTATTAACTGAAATTTGTATTTATTTGTAAATAAAACGACAACATTATATTATAAATACGAATGTTTACTACATCTTGTTTGTTTTTTCTGCATCACCACCTCGCCACCGCTAAAGGAAAGTGGCAGTGCGCGGCTACCGGGCGTGCGCCTGCGTGCGACCGGTTCCCGCCGCGTCTGCCCATTAATCACAATGCATTATTCAAACGCGAATGCGCCACTCCGTGCATAGCATAGACAACAAAACTATATTCGAATTCGGAATCCGTTAAATATTTGACAGCGATCGACCGACACGCCACATTACACGAACAGCGTTCCGTTCGGAGCGAGCGTTCAATGCGGTTGCTCTGTCGGCCATTGTATTATCGCCAGAGCGAAGATAACGCAATCGCTTCCATAATCTTGGCTTATTAAATTGACCTTTGCTTGTTTTAAACATATGTTTTTATTTAGTGTTTTCGTCACAACTGTTGTAAAACGAACGTACTGTGTAATATGGCCTTTCAAATTATTTCATCTATAATTTTCTCTCTATCATTTTTAATGATTCAAGAATGCAAAATGTTTGAGTAATGCCGAGGCGCACTGATTATGACAACGAATAAGCGATGAATAAAACTAAATTTCCACCAAAATAACAGGAAACTGGGCTGCTAGAGCAAAATGGACACTATCTATTAACGCAAATAATTTCAAAAAAACATCAAATTACATTTCATGCAGCCTATTCGCAATGTTTATTTAAGAAGCAATATTGTACTGTTCACTTACAAAGTCGTTATTCATATGTAACTACTCCAAGCTCTATGTTCTTCCTTATCTAAATTTATAAAATTAGGAGGTTGTTAAAGACTTCACACTTTGTTTCTTGTGAAGCAAGTTTCAAAATTAATCGTGCATAATAAATTTTGAGTTCTCGAACAACTAAATGTCGACTATAAAAGTTTTTTCGTTGGCGGAATTCGCCTTCTACCGGCCGGCTCGCTGCTTTTGGTACGCGAGTTGGGTATTAATAGTGGTGGGGCTTACGTAGCGACGGTTACAGGAAGCCACGATGAATCGCTCCACTTCCTCCGTCGCTATCCGGGATGTACGCCTCCCGGTCAACATTTCCTGCTGCCATCGCTGTTCCCGTGCGAGGTCGCGTCATGCATCATTAACTCATTGCACAGATTATATTAACGCACGTGTACAGATTAAATATTCTAAGTCACGCCGACATAATACTAAAACTTAAAAAAAAAATTAAAAACTTGTACTTTTACATTACAAAAAAGAAGGTTTTGTACACGAAGCGTATTTATTTCTCGAAAAGTATTTTTAATTCGTGTTCACACCATTTATATGTAGCTTATGAAACATATACTTGTGGATTTTTTGATAAACTTTTATTACTACTTACAACAGTCGTTCACGTACGGATGGCATCAACTTTTTTTTTCCCAAAAAAAAAACAATGCGAAGCGTGTTTTATTTTCTAAATGATTTTTAATTCGTGATCACAGCATTGGCATGTAGCTTACGAAACGCATATAGGTACTTGGTTGATTTTTTTCATGAAGTTTTATTACTACTTACAACAGTCATACACGTACGGATGGCGTCCACATGTTATTTACAAAATAGCTATAGCGGACGCGTCGCATAGCCGGAGAGTGTTAGATCGTTTAAATTGAGACAGGCACCAGATGTGGACAGGCCGCCGTCAGCGCGCTTTTGATGGCCGGATGAGCCTTGCACGTGATAAAAGCGAATTGGTTATTGAACCTACAATAGGTGTTAAGGGGTCCGAGCAAGACTCCCTACTTATTACATGTTTAATTAAAATTAGCCTTTAACGCATATTATTATTCGATCTGTAATTCAACATGAAAAAGAAATTAAATACGCTTACGCCCGGTTTCTGAAACACAGATAATCGTAGACATTAACTAATAAATATCAGCTGTCAAATGGCTTCTCCAATGTTATTTTAATTGCCAAAAGGATGGTTAAACTCTGGATTGATCAGAATGATCTTAATGATCAGAATGATCTACGATGATCAGTGTTGAGAAGACAGGCGTAAGCTGATGAATAAGATCGCGCGCGTAGCAATAAAATGCATCAAATGTAGAAGTCGACGTTCGCCATGTGTGTGTATTATCGAGTTTATATGCGAGATGTACGACTGCGGATATAATAAGGGACGACAGTGATGAATCTGGAGAGGCGATGTGTCATAGCGGAGCCCCACAACACGTCGCTGGTCGGCACCACAAATTCGCGTGGATATATTTCGGTCCAGCCTGCATCGGGCGCCACTCGTATAGAACGACCGAGCTATTTATTCGAGGCGTGCGTAAGCGCGCGACATAGAGAATCTTAATGTTCTATATTCGCATCTAACATAAGGGCTCTATTTTCAACGTTTACAAACGGGACGATTTCCGTTTATGCGGCCACGAGAGGAGTACACTCACAGTAGACAATCACAATAGACTTTTTTCCAAATTGCGGGGAACGAATTCGTGTTTTGAAATCAATAAAAATACATTCAAAGAGATGCGCCTACCCCGCGGATGTCTCGACCTTTGCTATGGGGAGATGGATCATTGGTGTCGACGCGTGGTTGATTTGTGCCCCGGCCCCGCCATTTACGGGCCGCGGTGGCGTCGTATTCATGAGCGCGCTATTTCAGTGTCAAATCTTGCTATTTATCGATCGCATTTCTTGACCCGCGACCTCGGTACGATGCGGTGGCAGTTAGACCGTTCGATGCGTAATGCAGGACGCTTCAGTTTTGTATAACTCCCAATAAGGCCGCTTCGTAATAACGTTCTATTGTTAGACTAATGAATAACGCCCGTTTAAAGGGAATTGTAAGGAAAGGCATCAAGTCAAAGACGTCGGAGACTTATGGCCGTTCATTGATTAAAGAATATCAATACTAATGAATGTTAGAACGCTCATTCACGTTATAATGGATTTGCAGCGAGCTTTAGGATGGATGAATGTTGTGTTTTCGCCCTTTGTTACCGTGAAATAGCATAACTCATAATAATATGCTTAAGTAAATAAAACAATATGACTACATCTATTGATAAGTTCATGAATATTTCTTTTAATGAACAATTAATGTACCAATTTGTAGTTTTCAAAACAAAATGAATACTTATTTGTATGATTAAAATTATCCTACGTCCGATGCAAATGTTATCTCAGCCCTTCCATTAGATGCGCAATGTGGCAACAAGCAAGACTACTCAAATCAGCATTAACAAATAAAAGTGCGATGCTAGCACTGAAGTCATGCTAGGTGCGTGCAGCTCATGTTAGGCGCATGCTCAACTGGAGGGGTGTCCTTCAACGCGTCTCCGGGCGCATGGCATGCACCGCAGACGAAGATAAGGCGGGTCAGGCAGCAGGAAGCGGCGGCATCAAACGCGCCACGTAAAGATAACGGGCATTGGGAAATCGTTTACGTTGGACGCCAAATGTCGGTCTGGCGTTGCGCCGCAGTTGAACGATCGCGTTATTTAACTGGCTGGTGGCCTCTTTTGTAGACTACAAAAAGCTTCATAGGTCAGAGCGCGTGAAAAATCTAAGGTCCCTTGATGGAAACTACCTAAGCAGAGGCGCGCCTGTGGACATGCGTTCATTAACAAATGGGGTAATTATCGGCTACAGGTATCCGTGGTGTTGGTATTATATAGATATATAGCGACTCGCCCCGGCTTGCAGATGCGTTGTTTGCCGGCCAGTAAAAAATAGGCTGCGGTTTCCATCAGACGAAACGCGAACGCATAACCCGACCCCCCACAAAATCTTACGAATGACTAGCACGCGTCGTACGTTTGATACTCAAGTCACCGTAGTACTTAATATATGCAGTCGAGAGTTCCTTCGCTTATTGGAGCGAAAATAAGAGATCAGTGAATAGGATAATCGACAAAACTGATTAAGCATAATTTAACAGGCACTTTCCAACAGTCGTAAGTAACTTTCTGTCTCAATCCCCACTGAGGTACCTATTTTGTATTCAGTAACATTTACTTTAGATGTGCATAATTCCGGGGAAACTAACCTTTCTGTGGGCTCTGTCCGAAGGAGCTATACGTAGCACTCGCACCTTCAATGGTTGGCAACGCACTTGCAACATTTCTGGTGCTGTAAGTGGTGTAACTGGTGACAGTTCTCATTTCCATTAGTTGAAACGCCTGTTCAGTCGCCATCCGTTTCATAGACGGACTTTATTTTTATATGAGGTGGCAAGCGGTTCACCTGATGGTAATTGATAACCGCCGCCGATGGACATTTGTAGCATCCGTAGCAGATGCATTGCTAATAAGCTAGTAAACTGCCTTTTTTTTTTGGTATCGGGGGAAATCTTCAAAAGATACCCACTAAAACCCCCTCGGTGGCCACCTTCTGTACCTTTTTCCCTACTCCGGGATCTCCTACGCAACGCATCGGTGTCCCTCAGTACTGCGCGTGAGCACGCCTCGGAGAGGGGTAACCCTTCCCCGATTCCCTCGCCGCCTTCCAGCTGCACGAGACCACTTCATGCTGCTGCCAATCCGTGTCCCCTTTAAGCCAATAAACTGCCTGTTAATATAATGAACCCCAGCTACCTCACTCAGCAGACTAAACGCAGGGGTGTAATACCTGCTGTACTTCCCAGGAAGAACCTGCCCATTCGTGTTATAGCGTCGACTGTTGCTGGCCCCATCACACCTAGAAATTTATTTTTAATAAAATAATACATAACTGATTGCGAAACATTGTCCGTGGACATAAACTGAGTAATATATACAATTGTATTAAGCCAATTTAATCTTTGGTCTCGAGCAAACATTCAAAACCTTAAATTAAATTAAAATAACAGAACAGAAATTAAACAATTATGGAGACAAATGATCTCGATTGCATGACAATGTTGTCCAGTAAACGACGGTCGAGCTGACGGCAAATGGACATAAGGTACAGAGCGAGGTTCTCAAGGTAGCGCGGGCCCGCCCGGCTCCCTGATTTATATTCCTGACGTCAAGCCGCCACATAAACAGTGTCCGCTCGAAACCATAAATCGATTCATTCATGCGACGTTTCGCTCAATCAATCAATCGCGTATAAATAAAAGATGACCGCCCCGTACGGGAGGTACGGAACCACTTCAAATTCTGACGTCAGACTCGTCGGATGGAAATTACTTTTTTAAAACTCGGCGTCAGTAAGTTCCTCTATGGAGAGAAATGACGACATTCCGTATTCACTCGCATTCGAGTTCTCTTTTTTACGCGGTTCAGTTTTTGTCGTTTTCAAAGTCCGGGTGCGTTGGATGAGTTGGGCAGTTCGGTTAATTATGTCCGTTCTAGGAAACATTGGAATAATCTGATCGCTGCTGCCTTTTAGTCCGTAGAAAATTTAAGATTATTTAAGGATGAGTTACATCGTGTGTTTTAATTCCCTTGTTAATCGTCATAATATTAAAGTTTTACATTTCATGTTCACAAAATATAAATATAATTAATATAATTATACCCCTTCCATTTTAAATTACTGCTTAGTAAACCGCTGATAAACTATTTATTTAGAAGTCTAGAAACGCTTACAGTAATCTAAGGTTGTTTAATTATACTATACCTGTAGCGACTCGTAAAAATGCTCCTAACGGCCTTACAATGTCAATTAAATATCGGTTGTCTATGGAACGAGTACATAAATAGAGTACGATGTTGGGTACTATACATTGGAGGTGTGGGCGGGGGAACAGCTTTATCAGTGGCCAACAACACGGATAGTAGTTCAAAACGCCGCAATTTTATTAGCAATGAGCGACCACGGCGTTAGACATCAGGTATCGCGTAACGCGCGCGTAATTTACGCGGAATTCGATCGAATTATCGCTCCGAAACTGAGCCGGCGAGGTAACGGTGTCACGCATTGTTTACCGCGGCGCTTGTTTTTAATGAAAATGAGTAACTACCGTCTGGAGGCTATCTATTTTTGGATGCACTGCGTTACGGGCACGGCGTTTATGGTGTGCGGCGCGGCCGCAAGCGGACCTATGTACGGATTGTGTAATTCTTAGAACATGAGTGACGTTACAACTTATAAGACCTATATTGTATCATGTTTTAATAAATAAACGTATGTTTCTTCCTTTACATGAAGTAGTGAAAGTAGTAAAGAAAGGTGAGTCGGTGACGCAGTTGATAAGCTATTGCCTTCGCGACTGTTGTAACTGTTCCGTATCTGGATGTTAATTCCCAAGGGCGGTTGACGTCAGGCGGTTTCATTTAATTTCGGCCTCTAGCTAGATCGACTTCATTCCCGAGGTTGGTTTGAGCACTAGACAATTTGCACTATATCAATGGCAGCTTCGGTAACCAGTTTGGTACAGTCAATGCCGGAACGTGCACAAGTTAACGGGAATGTTGCGCGAACTAGTCTCTGTGTGGGACGGTCAGTGGGGGCTATCAATTTGCTCCTTCATTGATTACTGCCCCAAACTAGGTCTGCTTTCGAAAGCTTATGATAAACGCAATCCATTGACACTGACAGTCACACTCTGAGACCACAGTCAGAGCCTTTTAATCCATGGACATTTGCAACACCCGTAGGGTTCCAAGTAAGTTCGATTTAGGTCCCCTGATCCAGTGGCACTCCTGCCTCTCCCCCGATCCAGTGACAGGGAATCCATAAAGGAAAGCATTTAAATTACAGATAACAATAAAAAATGGTTGTAAATACGTTACCATCTTTCAAAAAAGTGGGCCCGGTTACCTCACTCACCACTCGAAAGGAAAGAAGTATAACACTTCTACTTCTATGAGGTCATGGTTCTTAACCGAGCAGATCTGCCCATTCGTGCAACAGCGAAGAATGCTGTGCGGCCCTACCACAGTTACCACAGTAGCAGACTAATTAATATAGCATTCGTTATCATGTGGCGTCTTTTAAGACACCACTTAGCCGTTGAAATTATTTAATAAACTGATAATAAAAGAATCTGCGTTATCGTCAGTCTATTAATAAATTGGAGGAATATTAGGGATATATTATAGTACGTAGCTGATATATTACCTACATCTGGCGTTTCACAGTTGGGCCGATTAAGCCAGGGAAGATCTGGTGCGTCTAGGAAGAACAGGTGTGGAAATGTTAGAACTTTGTGACTTCATTCAGTGAGTGGGTTTACCAGAGGTTGACGACCCTCTAAATGCCAGGCATAAGTTTACCTTTTTTCGATTTCTAATAGAAATTTTCTGGAATAGAAAAGAAAAATGGGCATGTTTTATTCATTATGAAATTTCTCCGGCAATTGGGAAGAGGGCTGTTGTCACAAGACTTAAAAAATGTATGACGTGAAATAATGAGCTTTCTTTACTAGACAGATTCGTGTAAGCCGTAGCAAATATCGTTAACTACCATGTTAATATCTTTTTTAAGTGTACGATTCAATTTAACAGTATACCTGATTTGAGTCGGTCAACGTAGTAAAGCAATATTTGTCCCCAGCATCTTGGCAACCCTAACGTATTGCTCCAATTTGAAAGAATCAAGCTTTCCTTAACTCTTTTATTTGAGAATTTTAAACTGCTCCATTGCAACGTATTGTCGTATGATGTAACTGCTGCAGTAACTTTCTTGTGATGCTAATAAAATCGTGGTCGTTAAATTCGTTTGTATTAAGAGGTTTTCATTGTTTGACGTTACCGATATAATGTGTGGCTGGCTGTATAATGAAGCTTTCTCCCGTGTGGGCTGCGGCTGTGAGCCCGTGGGTCGCTTCCTGCGCAATGGTGTGACAAAACTCGACTAATAAAATTCAAATTATGTTTCCCAACAACGACGCCTGTCGCTTATGATATTTGAATGGAACTGGATTCGGAATCCACGATCATCGCCTACGATAAGCCTCTTTCCGAATTGGGGTAAAGTAAAGTAAAGTAAAGTAACAGCCTATACATGTCCCACTGCAGGGCAAAGGCCTCCTCTATATAGAGGGTATCAGGGCATAGTCCACCACGCGGCCCCACTGCGGATTGGCGGACTTCACATATTTTCGAAATATATTTTTTTTTGTTATTATTTCGAAAATATGCAGGTTTCCTCACGATGTTTTCCTTCACCGCGGAGCACGTGATAAGTCAGCACTTAAAGTTCTTTGGTGTCGGCACCGGGGATCGAACTCAGGTTGCTCGAGTATATTGAATTAAAGGCGAGCGCCCGGACACTGAGCTATCACGGCTCTGAATTGGGGTAATACTATGAATTTATACGAGTTACATTTAGTTCAGTTAAATTTAGATCAAGTTTTTTTTTATATGTCGTTAGTTTGGTAACGGCTTATGATTGCTTACTGTTTTCAAATTTTCTGAATAAAAATGTTTGCGAAATGTTTTCTGTAACAAATTAACCCCAAGCTTCTGAGGACGTTCGTTGCACTATTCAACCCTATGAGCCCTTATCATACGCTATTCTCACGAGTTCAGGACTTGACCAACATCACCCTATTCATAGATATGAATCTCACAAAATATGATATGACGGATATGAC